TGGCCCCATCGTAACCTTGTAATCGCGCTTCCTCAACTGAAATTCAAACGAGTTTTTGTTAGGAAGTACAAACATTCCAGGCAAATAGATATTCAGTGCGTTACTACCTTTAGCGGCTACCAATTCCCGACTTCAAATTCCACATGTGCGTTTATTGGACGAAACAGGGCTCAACTTTCGGCCATCGCTACAGACAGTTTGTCATATTACTGCACAATGGGACCTGATTCGGCCAAAATTCGACTGTCTCTGGTCCAACGAACGCAACCTCCTAGGGGTGTTATCAGTATTTATGAAAGAAAACCCGAATTTTGCAAAAATGCATGTGCGGTGTTTCAGGAAGGCGCTCCACACAATCATGCTTTATTTGCATACTGGCTCCTTCATTTACACTACACCAAAAGCTACTCCCCCGAAACTTGAAAAATCTTTATGAAGAGGACAGCTGGAGGTTCGAATTTATCAGTCGGTCAGTCACACGCAGCCAACTTAGATGTCCTAATTTGGAATGAAAGTTGTCCTAAAGTGCGTATAAGCATTCTAAGAAATCGGTATTAAAATGATCAAGCAAAGTTGTTGCTAATCTTCTTTATCTCACACTTTAAGTAAACATAAGTCACTCAGCTCAACAAAGCTTTAACTTCGCCTACTGGACAAAACAGGTATCCTAAGGAGGAACCGCGTGTACCTTCCGTGCTTTTTCATCTATCACCTTGCAATTTTGTAGTTATATGAATAACGCCAATTCAATTTTGCCGAAGTTATAAAAAGATACAGGTGGAATGGGTAATTTAATACAAAAGCAGATAGACTTCGCGGTCGTGGGAGCGCTGACAGTTGTGCATGGGCACACGTATCACCTAATGTTTAGAGTGATGTTACGCATGAATGCGGTATCCGCCAGGTCTGCTGAAGACGGGCACAAAGATATTTCCACACGTAAAACTGCGTGAGAGCTTGTTTTCCTTTTTGAGCTATCGACAATTCACCTGTTTCATTACAGTCAAGCCGCTGGTGTAAAGACTTTTGCAAATATCTAATGCTTGCGAAGTAAAAAAGATTTGAATTTCACTTTTTAAAAAATAGAGTCCGAACATTTGGGCTGGAGCCCCTCAGCTTCCCTGTGGAAGTTCTGCTTACTTTAACTGTTTACTCTTCGTTGTAATTCGTATTTCAAAATACAGAGGGTAAAGGCTGTTCTAACTGGACGCTCGTCATAACTGCAGCCTCATCCCTCGTAAAACCTTATCCCATTTTCGATTGGTCAAATCACTGTGTATTAATTTCTTAAAGAGTAATTAAGCTAATTTCTTTGTGTTCGCGAGATTAAGGACATCGTCTGCACAAAAGGTCTGTACCCAGAGTAACCCAGTGGAAACCTTCAGCTAGCCGTCTTCTGTTGCGCTCAGTTTGCTTGGGTAAAACTTTATCTCATGTGCCCTTTGTAAAATCACCGTACCTCGATCTCAGGAGTACCTATTGGAAGGCTCTCTGCTACCTCCTGCTTATAAATATGATTCGTCGTCTCCTGCCAAACTGTTTGCCATATACAATGATAAAATATTTGCTCAGATAATTTGTCACTGACTTATTTCATTCCTGCAGAGATTGGCATCTCAACAGATACTCGCCTTCTGAGTACGGCCTGTATGCATGACTCGTATTCGTGGCTGTACGAGAGACATTTGTAGTTTGTGGCCTTTATTTTGGTCTACCAATTTTGTTTAGGAAAAGAGTTTCAGAGTCTGCTCAACCCCACATCCTATGGTACATTTATTGAGTCTTTGTAACGTGTCAGAAACTGTTGAAAAATTATTTAATAAACGCCTAGTGACAGCACATGCCAATAACCACATGAAGAACTTTAGGCAGACCGTTAGTGAGCCGTACTTCCCTATGAATTCTTGATGGGTGCAAGCTGAAATCATGTTCAGAACATAAATTTTATTTATTGCAGGCTTAGCAAAAGTAAATAGTACTGGTTTCGATTGCTAACCTTCATTAGCTATTTACGAAGTAAGTTTAAAAGAAGACGGAAAACGTTAGCGGCTCCAGGTGGTTATAGCCCTTAAAGTTGTACGGTTGGGCCAGAGAGAGCAGGCAAACACGTGTCCACTCCTTTAATTATTCCATTTCATTGTAAGTACGGAGATGAAATTAACCGCTTGTTCTAACCATAAACTTCATTTTAGGATGACCATTAAGCTGTTATAAGCAGCGACTCATCAGATATTTTGAAAAACAACCCCTCCTTGTAGACGAAGAGCATTGCAGTCTTGAAATCGCTATCAAGGGGTTAGAAGAAAACTGTAAATTTCAGATGCGTTTGTATTTCATCCTATCCCTGCCAAGAAACTTAGAATAAATTTACGCCAGTATTCCGATTACACATGCCTCCGCTCGATTTGATCATGACAAATAGCTTGAACATTCTTTTAAATCCCCTGATGCGTCGGTTTCGTCCATAAATCAGAAAGAGGATGCTCTCATGAAAACAAAAATGATGCAATTTTTAGGAAATTTTAAAGTGAAAAACACTGCATTTACTCATTCTGCGCCACGGAAAACATTCAGATAATACTAGTGCTGCAGTGAGAAGATACTGTGATAGGGCCTTTTGTTAGGATAAGATGATATATCAAGAAGCTTGATTTTTGAAAATCGTCGGTTGGATTTTAAACATTACACTTATAATGGACAATAGTTTTTCAAAACCCATACAAAACCTAATCTGTCGAAAAATGGAAAATAATTTCTTCCGTTCTGAAGTACAAGCTTGCTAAATATTCTACTGTTGTAGATATTTTCTGATTTATTCTTCAGAATAAGGAGTGCTTTTTCCAACAATATTTGGCAGCTCAAACAGCACTTATACTGCCTTCAAAAAATATTATATCTGTAATAGTTAGACCGACCTATCGACGAAGTGCAGGTAACACGGAGACATGCCGGTACGCGCTAAACAGCTTCGGCTTCACCCTCTCCTAGCCAGTCATAGTACTGTCCTTTTCTTCATTACGAAACCATTTCTGGTGATTTTTACCAATAATGTTTCAAAAAAAACGCAATCAAATAATATTATCTCCAGCGATGGCGGCAGACGGTTCTCAAAGAAACGATTTTTTAAGATGTGCCCTTATGTATTTTCAAAGCTGCACGGTTTGAAATTATATGGAATCCAAAACAGGACAGGAAGTGGTTACACAGAGGTCAAAAATGCATGAGATATCTGTTCTCTATATTCATAAATTATGCTTACTTTAAGATCATGAACTTTGTTGCCGTCAATATAGAAGCTGAAATAAAATATGCAAGGCAACTAAACTGCTAAAAGGCCTTCAAGCAGGAGAGAAAACTTAAGTGGAGTCGTACCGTTGATAGTCGCGAAAAAACATAAAAGAAGAACTCATTGAAATAATTGGTTTGCACTGTCTTCCACTGCTAATCCGAGGTTATAATTTTTTCTTCGATTTAACTGGATCGTCTTAAGAGACAATAAAGATTAAGTAGAATTTACATCTTCGAAAGATGGGAAATGCCATTTTCATGCCAATCTGGATAACGTGTCACCCATGGGGTATTTAATACTCATATAGACTTATATTCATAGGGCGTATGCTTCGCCAGTACTGCCATTCAATCCCTACGGACTTAGCAGGTTCCGATGTTAAACGTACCATAAAGTCAAGAATGAGATCGATGTGGTCCGTTTCCGCTTTATTTTAAATCACATGTAAATATCTTACTGGAAACTGCATGACCTGAGTCTTCAATTTTGTAAAAAGATTAAAAGGGTAATAAATGATCGAAATATATTTGTGATAACTTTTTAAATGGTTATCGGTGTAAAAAGGGAGTTTTTCGTTGTGAAAATAAGCTAAAATATAACAACATTCCCTCGACAGTATTACTTAGGTCAGTTAAGAAACCAAGTATGCTTCAACTTGTGCCCGTCTAGTCAGCAAAAAGGTAACCTGCTCCTGTTCCCTATAGAATAGTTATCTTTGTCTGCGCATTCGTTACTTAACTTTAAAACGTGTTTAACACGGGTATGTTGGCAGTTAATTCAGATCTACAGAGCCTAGAAAAGCTTGTCTCATCTAACGTCTCCGAAGTCT